GGTTGGAGGAGGCATGGAGGCGGGGACGCTCGGGCACTCAGCAGGGGAGCCGGGCGCTACCTGCTGCCGCCTGCGCCGTCGCGGAAGCTTTCCGGCGCGCCTCCGGCAGCCCCTTCCTGCGCCCGCTCCAAGCCTCCCCGCCCGCGCTGCCGCCCGCCGGCCGCAGGACGGCACCCTGCCCTGCATCAGCTGCACCGGCAGCCTGGGGTGCGGCGGCTGCAAGGCGGGCTCCTTCAAGGCGCCCGACACCTATGCGCAGTACATCTACCGCCTGCCCTCCTCCACCCCCACCACCTGCTCTACCTGCGGCGTGTGCGAGGTGAGGCCCAGCCCGGGCCGGCGCCGGCCGCGCCGCTCCCGCTGTGATGCCTGCTGTGCTGCGATGCCTGCTGTGCTGTGATGCCTGCTGTGCTTCGCGCTGCGCTGCCTGCCGTGCTGCGCTGCCTGCCGTGCTGTGATGCCTGCTGCGCTGTGATGCCTGCTGCGCTGCCTGCTCCTCTGCTTGGTGCCCTTGGGGCCTTCCGCCTGCTTTGCACATGCGCCCATGCTTGCATACCCCCATGCACATACCCATGCACACCCCCATGCACACACATGCACACACATGCACCAAGCCGCCCCTCCCACCCCAACGGGCCGCCGCACGCTCTCACTCACCTCACACCCGCCGCGCCCTACAGGACAACAAGTGTTCCTCTCAGGGGTGCACCCAGTGCCTGGCCGGCGCCACGCCCATGCTGGTTGCCGGTACCACGCAGCTGAAGGACCCGCAGTACTGCATAACCGAGTACTGCGATGAGGTGATGCCTGGGATGCCCCAGAATCCCAACCTGTACAGGTGTGGTACGCCGCTGCAGAGCTGCGGTATGCAGTGGTACCTCAGCACGCAGCCGCAGCACGCAGCCGCAGCAAGCAAGGCCGCCGGGCATGCGCGGCAGCTGCCTGCCGGCGCTGCGACTGTGTGTGTGCTGCTGGCGTGTCGCCCCGCCGCTGAAGTGCCGAGGGCAGGGGGCGGGGAGGCGGCACGCTGCGGCGCTCTGGCATGGCGCTGTGGCAGCTGCGCGGCGGCTACATCCACCGGTGGCTGACCTGGCCAAACTCCCGGCTTGCTTCTTGCCCCCCTCCCGCCACCCATACCTGCAGCTACTACCCCGCCTGCGCAGCGGTGGAGGGACAGGCCCAGTGCTCGCCCACTGCCGGCTGCACCGCCTGGTGCGCTGTGCTGTGCTGTGCTGCGCTGTGCTGCGCCGCCTGCGCTGGCACGCCGCCGCGCTGACTGGCTGCGCTTGGGCCAACAGATTTTGCGGCGCGGCACCCGGCCTGCGCAGGCTGCGGCCGCCGGCTTTGCGCGCCCGACGACGCGCAGCTTGCTTCTGTGGCCGCCGCAGCTTGCTTCTGTGGCCGATCGCCCCTGTCCCAACTGTCACCCGTGCCGACTGCCGTGTTCGCCCTCCTCTGCGGCCCCCTCCTGCCCCCTCCTTGCGCCTGCAGCCCCTCAGGCTCGTTCCTGGTGCGGAACCCTCTGGTGCCCACGGCGGCACGGTGCCAGCGCTGCGAGGGCTGCCCCGCCTCGCTGTGCGGTACCGCCGGCTGCGCCTCCTGCCCCATCAAGGGCCTGGGCACGCGCACCGAGGTGCTCAACGCCACCACCCCGGCCGGCGGCAAGGTGTATGCGTGCAAGAACGCGACCGCAAGCGTGACGGTGCGCAAAAATACGGGCGATGCTACCCGGCGCCGCGCCACTCCCTGCCCGACAGCCTGCACGCTGCCGGCCCTGCTGCGGCGGTTGCGTGCTGCGATCGGCACTGCTCACCGGGCCGGTGGCGAGCGCCGCCTTTGCCCGCCACCCCAGCCCCTGCTCCTGCTCCCCGCCAAGCCTGCCCCACCTCCCCCTCGCCTGCCTCCACCGCTGCAGGCGTTCCGCGGCGCCGACGTGCTACCCCCGACCGCCACCTGGCCCGCCTCGGAGTTTGGTGGCTGCGGGGTCGACGAGATGGGCGGCGTGGGTGACTTCATGTTTCTGTGGTACAGGTGGGCGAGCGCTCCTTGTGTGTGTGTGTGTGTGTGTGTGTGTGTACGTGTGTGCGTGCATATGCGCGCGTGTTTTCTGTGTGTGTGTGTGCATGTGCTTTCTGCTC